TGATGTATTTACCAAAGGTCTTCATAGTCCTATTTTTCTCAAACATTGTATTAATCTTAGATTGGGGAACCCAGCTGGGTTTGAGGGGGAATGATGACTGTACATGTCTAGTCAGCATATTATCTGTAGCTGTAGATCACGTGTATATCGTGTGGTCAGTTAGGAATTGTTAAGCAATTGTATAAAGCTGGTATGTACAGTAATTGTTCATTAAGAAAATACAACCAGTAAAATTCTCTTAGAAATTCATGTGTTCTCTCTCTAGCTTTCTTCCTCCTTATCTTTCTCTGCACATTTCACTTTCGTTATCAATATTTTTACTCTACACACAAATATATTGGCATTTTTTCACGTCGGAATAAACAAGAGCTAGTATATTTTTACTCTACACACAATTCTATAATCACAGGCAAACAGAAAATCAGCCACTCAAACGGAAGGGCGGCTGGATTCACAGCGCGCCTCTTCAAACGAAAATCGACGGCCCCTCATGCCTGTAGAACAGTGAACACGGATCTTCCATAGCTGCCCCCAACCAGCCCAACCAGTTGGTTCGAAATGGACTGGAAATGGAAGCCTTCTCTCAGCGAACGAAACATTCGCAACGGAAGAGATGCGAATGGTAGGGGCAAAAAGGGAAGAGAAGAAAAGGTTTAGTGGAGGGCATTTTCGACAATTTAATGTGCTGAGGATAAAACAAAACGGGAGGCTACAGTAAAAGAAGGGGCATTTTCGTCATTATACTATGCTTAAGAACAGTGTCTAGTTGTATTGCGCTTTAGTATATTAGTCCCTGAACTGAAACTAAACTTGCAGTAGTTTTGACTGAGAAAAGAACACTTAATTTTCCTTGCTCATGGCCAGATCAGTGCTGCCTTCTCTATTCAATAATTCATTGCTGCAGTGTCACTGCATATCCAGGTTTTCGGCAAAAGCAGGGCATGTGCTAATTGCATCCATTTTGTTGACAACCACATTCATAAGCGTCGTTCCGTTTTGTTGTATGTCATTGCCGTATGTGTCATCAGCATTATCTCTTTCAAATAATGAGCAAATCAAAAACCAAGTTCAGATACAGGGTAGTGTTAAAGGCTTGAAAGGAATAAGACCTTCTTCCCTTATTTTTATCCATATAAAATGCTGAATTCAACCTCACATGATCAGATTGATACATATAATATCCTTTATCAAAAGATTTCTTGCATATAGATAAGGGTATTGAGATTAATTAACAAACTTAGCCTATCTTACACTTTTCAATCTTCTTCTTCTTCTTCTTCTTCTTAAATTGAGATATGAGTCTCTAATTGCATTCATTTTGTTGACAACGATATCCATAGACATCCGGTCTCTTGGTGATGTTGCAGAGCATGAGAGCCCTATTTGCATCGATGAATCCAAGCAGTCCTCCAATCTTTTCGCTTTGACTGGGCCAGGATCTTTATATCCTGCTACTTGTCTTTCTTCTATGCGATTTCCATATTTGTCATCTTCATCATTCTCACCATCCGTTTCAAGGAGCAATGAAGGCTCAACTACGTCCATGACACGGTCAGGACAAGCCATGGCTGTGAATTGGTGAATGCTTAGATCATCTTTGAACATGTCATCAGTTGGTCTTTTTCCTGTGAACATTTCTAGCAACAGTATCCCATAGCTATAAACATCTCCAAGTACGGAAACTTGGCCTCCCATGCCATACTCTGTCATTCAACACATAAATTAGGATGTCACAGTAAATTGACCTTCAGAGTTTATATCTTATATAAAATTTTGCTAATAGTTCTTCTCCAATATAAAAAAAATATAGAGATGTATATAATTTTAAAAAATATATATATAAATAGAGATTTAATTTTCTTTAGTAATTAGTTAATAGGAATAGAAAAAATGAGGAAGTATAAAAACTCATACCTGGAGGAATGTAGCCTATGAAACCCTTTAGCCCAACTGACATGGTTTGAGTTTTGGTGGGATTATTTGATGCTTCCAAAAGGAACCTTGCTAGACCAAAGTCACCAACATGGGCTACCATATCTTCATCAAGAAGAACGTTGCTTGGCTTTAAATCACAATGAACAATGCATGTTTCACAATCGTGGTGTAGATAATCTAATGCAGAAGCAACATCTATGGCAACATTTAGTCTTCGAATCAGGCTCAATCTCTTACCTTGAGATTGTTCATCATCTCTTGGATGCAGCCACGGGTCTAGACTTCCATTTTCCGTGAACTCGGAAACTAGACTTTTAAACTCATTACCTTGGTTGTCAATGCTTGAGCATGCAGTTATGATTTTGAGAAGATTACGATGCCTTATACTTCTTAAAGCTTTGCATTCATCAGTGAAACTCTTGGAAGCTCCTTCTTGTTAAAGGTTTAATACCTTAATAGCAACTACCATGCCATTACTAGAGAGTACTCCTCTGTATACAGAACCGAAACTTCCTGAACCAATAAGATTGTCTAGAGAGAACCCGTTGGTTGATTAAGTGAGTTCTAAGTAAGAGACACCTGATTTCCAATCCTCATAAGAACGTGAAGTACCTCTTGACCTTTTCACCATTTTACATGCAGCAATGAAGCATGATAGAGATATGAATGCAAGTGCACAAGTTATAAGGATTACTACTTTTGGGGAAAGTAGTCCTTGAGATGAATTAGGCTTTTTGCTGGAGCATGCAGGTAGAAGTAATTCTGGGATGCCTCCACAGAGCTTATTATTTCCATGAACCGAGACACCACTTGCATTTGAAAATATTCCTTCTTCAGGCAATGCACTCTCAAAATCATTATAAGAAAGATTGAGCTGCTTAAGAGCTCTAAACTTACCTAGAAATTCAGGAATTTTCCCAGATAAGTGATTGCGTGAAACATCGATTTCTTCCAAGCCTCTTAATTTTGCCAGAGTTTCAGGAATTCTTCCTTCAAAAGCATTACCTTCCAAATGTAGGCTCACCAAACTAGTGCAGCTGCCAACGGTTACGGGGATTTCACCTGATAAGTTGTTTGCTGATACATCTAGCTCCGAGAGATTTACCAACTCACCCACTTCTGATGGTAGTGAACCAGTCAAAAAATTGTTTGACATGGACAAACAAATTGAAAGGGATGAAAGCCCTACAACCTTTTTAGGTATGGTTCCCCTTAGTCGGTTACTAGAAAGGTTAAACATCAATAAGCTTCGGCAGTTTCTCAGGCTTGGAGGTATGCTTCCCTCAAACCTATTACCCTCCATGAAGAGCCTTGTTACTGAAGTCAAGTTACCTAGGGAGGATGGGATTGGCTTCGAAAACTTGTTAAGATTCAAATACAATCCCTGTAACTTCTGGAGCTTGCCAATTGCATCAAGGAGACTGCCACCAAAATAGTTTTGTTCCATTCCTAGATTGATCAAGTTTACAAGATTTGCAATGCCGATAGGGATGCTTCCATGTATCAAATTACCCCCCATTGTAAATGTAACACCCCGACCCCAAAGTTATCCCATGTTTAATTAATTTAAGTGGAATTGAGAAATTACCCGTGGGATAGGGGTATTTTAGTCATTTTCTTACCCGGAAGGAATTTGGGAATTCCGGTTGTACCGTTGTGTAGAGCACGGTGAGATGAGTCCGTAGACACGTAGTGGGCTCGAATCGGAGTTGTAACGAGAGAGATATGATCAAAAGTAGCTCAGTGGCATAATCGTAAATATTTGGAAAATGGATTTTTGGTTAAAAAGACGGAATTGCCCCCGTCACTCTCTCTCTCTCTCCCGCGCGTCCCTTTCTCCCTCCTCTGGTTCGCGACAGCCACCATGCCCGGCCACGCTTTGGCCGGCCGTTCGTTCGCCCGGCCACCAAACTCGACGGGGCCGGAACCAAAATGACCGGGCTTCCTTTCTCTTCATATTCCGACGAATTTCAGCCGT